GTGGCTGGCACGACTATATACCAAAGGAGCATGGAACGCTGTTACCTTCCCACCAAAGGTGGTTTCTATTTTTCTACTTGCATTTTTACATGCTTTCGAACTGCTAGGTTGGCAGAAACTGGGATTAGTAACAGGAGTTCACTAGGGATTCGAACAACCAAACTGCCGACCTTTCTGATCCACAAGCTCAGCGTTTTAGCCCCTGAGCCACCGTGTCCCTAATGGTCATTCTATAAGAATAGCTATTTAATTTGGACCCAAACCTGCTGCTTTTCTCTTTGCTTGCCATCCTCTTTTCCTTTTGTGACATGATTTCTAAATTATATAGGCTTAAGGACAAGGGATTGTTTTTTCATCAACTGTACATAAACCATTGTGAAATTTTTTATAGCCTAAAAACCAGACTGGAATTGTATTACATCCCTGCGAGAACTTATACTCCTGTCCCTTTTTCAAAGTGCTGTTTCAAAGTCACAACTGCCTGATTTTTATCTGCTTCTGGACTTCCCATATCACATCTATAATGGTAGATCTCAGCTTCAAATGTACTTTAGCCTTTGGACTTCAGGCCCTTCTAACCTGCCTTTTCTGGAGCATTTGCCTTCTGTCTGGTCGTGAATATATACAGTGGAATCCGCCTTTAGAGTCTTGATCGCCTGCCTCTAGAAATTAGTTTTGTGATATGCCTGTCTCTGGATCAGAAAATTCAGCAGCAAAGGTGCTAGGATTTGGTAATGAAGGAGAAAGCCACTTCACAACTGCAACATCTATCCAGCCTGTGAATAACTGAAAATCATTGTGAAGCAGCCAAATAGATATTAAGCAATCAGTTCAGTGGTGGGTTTCAAAAATTGTTCAAACCTACTTTGTGGGTGTGGCCTCCTTTGTGGGAGTGGCTTGCCGCCCATGTGACCGGAGGGGAGTGGCTTGCCACCCATGTGACCGGATATGAAGATGCCGACAACACGTGTCAGAACCACCTTAAATTACCTCCCACACAGCACTGGCATGCATAAGAATATGATGTAAACTTGTTTTTTAAAAGGCATCTTTGGTTTGTGTTAAAACATCTTCAACACACGCAATGTTCTGATTGCACCACAAACACAGTAGTCATCCTTACCTTTCACAGAGGCACTGAGTTTTATAAATATGAGCATGATAGTGTAGAATAATCATATCCAAGGACCAGTGGTGGGTTTCAAAAAAATTTTGGAGCCTCTTCTGTAGGTGTGACCTGCTTTCCGGGTCCACTGGTGGAACCTCTTTTAACCGGTTCGGTAGATTTGACAAACCAGTTCTACCGAATAGGTGCGAACTGGTAGGAACCCACCTCTGAATCAGTTCAACTTTAGTAGTTGGACAACTGCACTTTTTTTAAAAAAGTCAGAGAATTTTAGTTTAGTGAAGATAGCTTGATTGTGGACTACTTTTCCTTCTTAAAAATATCAGCTCTAAGGGGAGGGGAATATATCATTGACTGAAAATAAATATTAACAAATAAGTTACCTTAAAAAATAAGCATCTTGTTTTTCATGGATAGGTCGCATATTATTTGGATAATTTTCAAGAGAACAGTATAAGAAATTAATTTTTAAAAAACTCAGTCTTATGTACTATATATATTATTCTTTAGTAATGTATGATTCCAGTGTGCCTGACAGAGAAAGTACATTTTTGAATTATATTGGAATCTAATAAATAAAAATGAATTTTAAAGGTTTGAAGGATGTTTTCAAAATGTAAGTATTTGTAGAGATCCTAGAAAAGCATTCCTAAGGACAGCATTGTCTTACAATTAAGGCCTTATTTCCTTTTTTCCTTTTTAATTCTTTCAATTGGTTCTAGGGATTTACAGACATCACCCAGTATTCTTCAGATGGAGGTGATAAACTTTTCTCTTAAGTACTTCAAAAATCCATCTGTTACAATAATAGGAGATGAGATGACAGGAGAGAGAATACATCTTAGTCAAAACCAACAGTCACAAGTATTTGGTTTTCTTGATGCAGCCATAAGTGGCACAAAACCTACAAAGCCACCTCTCAAAATTCTGCAAAGTTAGAGATGTGCAAACCTTAAGCACAATAACTAGCTTTGTATCCTGTTGCCTTATTACCTAGCAACAATGTAGCCTAAATCAGAAGGGCAAAAAATAGATGGAAAATATGGGGGAGCATACAGAAATTAGCTATAAGTATCCATGTAGCCAAACTTTCCCACAATTGAGGAAAGCAAGAGGCTGGCCAGGGAACTTGAAATAATCTATGAAGAGCTGTTCTTGAGCATGGATTACAATTCCTTTCCCAGCACAGCAACGGTAGTTACAAATACAAGGTCAGAATTTATCTCTTCAGTGACTGCACTGCGCTGAACTGACGCATTAAGCAACAACCACTGTATCTTTCTGTATTTGGACTTCCTTTCCAAAAGCAGGAAAATTCTACTTTTTTTTAATCAAAAAAAGTAACTTGGCTGAACTGTATTTTGATGCTTTGCAAAACTCAGAGCTTTCAAAAAAGGAAAAGAAAAAAATCCCCCAATGCTGCTTAATTCTGTTGGCTTTTTAAGTGAGACGCCCCACCCTCTTAGACCACAACTCTTGCCAGTGTGTTGTTCTCTTACTCAAAATGTCTTTGAGGCAATACTGTAGTTTTGAAATATCCATGCAAGTCATGTGGTTTCCTGGCCTTCAGTGGCTCAATGGGAAATTACCAGCCGGGTATTACGTGGCAATTTCTATACTTGGCACCTGAAGTGTCGGCATTTTGCTATCTTTTGAAAGAAATGGCCCAGATGCGATGGAAACAGCTTTCTATTGGTTAACATCAGCAGAACGCAGAGTAGCTCTTGGGAGTTACAATGAGAAGCTATCTAACACAACATAAATAAATCCCATCTTCAGATTCCAGGCTTGACCTAAGTGATTCACTGAAGCATGCAGAAGCTTGTAGCATTTTTTTCATAGGTTTTTTTTTTAATGATTGTTCATTATCCAGAGTCATTGGTTTGAAATGGCTGCGACAACAAACAGTGAAAGGATTATAATAGCCACAATAGGCAGGCAGGCAGGCAGGACAGGTAGGCAAAAGCACATCCATGAATATCAATTACCAGTCCAAAGACATGAAAACTCCTTAATTTTACAACGCATGAACCAGTGGTGGATTCCGGATCCCATCGCAACTGGGACCCTGTGCAAGGGGTCAGGCGTCCTCATTGGGCACGTGCCCTGCACACACCACCGCCCTGTGATACCCAGACATGTGGGCAGGTGGGTGGGCCAAACAAGCTACTGTACCGGTACAGTGGCCACTCCTCCTGGCTAATACCGGTATGGTTGTACCGCCCGGAACCCACCATTGGCATGGACAAAATCAACCATATTTTTAAATAGGAAACTGTGACCATCCTAGACTAAGCTAAACCCAGAAACAATAAGAATTGCTGGAAGCTTGGCATGAGCCATCAAGAGACACAGAGGTAAACCACATATACAAATTGCATTCAAAAGAGACAATAACAAAGCTAAGGAGGAAAGACCAAACATATCTTCTCCAGTGGTCAATACCCAGATAAGCAGGGATTCGCATCAGACAAACAATCCAGCAAACAAGGAATTACCAGGGAGAAAAACCACATCCCTGTCAAAATTGGAACAAGCTATTATTGTATAAGAGCAAACCCTATGCTCACTAGCACTAATGATATTCTCTAGTTGGGTAATGAAATGTCTGCAAGCAAACAACCAAGCTGAGACCAAGGACTCCACACAATCCATCAAGTAGCAGCTGAAAACAAGAAGAAACCAGAAACATGAAAGTATATCAAATTGCTTTTGTGGATGTACGGCGTTATTGTTCTAAAACATCGTGTTGCTTTTTTCCAACAGAACAAAAAGAATAAGGAAACTGATGGGAAGACCAGACTAAAAGCACACCAATTTTGCATGTCTGATGAAATGTAATGTAACTTTAGCAAGGAAGTGGCCAAAGCAATATTGTAGCAATCCTTTCTATTTTGAGCAGTGTTATCATAATACGCATGCTATAATGTATGCATATGGGTGCTTACACACCAGTGGTGGGTTTCAAATTTTTTTAGAACCTCTTCTGTAGGTGTGGCCTGCTTTGTGGGAGTGGCTCGCTGGCCATGTGACTGGGTGGGAGTGGCTTGCCAGCAATGTGATTGGGTGGGCGTGGCTAACTTGTAAAATGTGGTGAAACTCACTTAACAACGCTCTTGCTTAGCAACCAAAATGTTGGCTCAGAAACTCTGGAATTTGAAGCACGGAAGTCTTAAAGCTGTCAAGTTACAAGACCCTTGCACCCCTAACCCTTTAGAAAAAAGAACCCCAGGGGTGTTCAAACTTGACATCTCTTGTGGACTTCAATTCCCAGAATTCCTCCTCTCGCTCTTCATCTTGATGATGTGCGGATGGGTGGGGGCGGGAGCTGGAACCAGTTCTAAACAGCACTGTAGATTTGTGGAACCTCTTCTGTAGAAGAGGTTAGAACTGGCAGGAACCCACCCTGTTACACACCCACATAAAGATGAACCCAGTGATACATCAACATGCATCTATAGGACACCCACACCTGGATTAGTAACTTGTTACTGTCTATATTTTATAGTTCCCTTAAGAACAGCATATAAGTTTAATAAAATGTGGCAGCATCTAGTAAAAAGAATACCAATATCCAGTCCAAAATACTATGCATGGAGCATAGTTGACTCAATTCTATTTTTAAAATATTTATTTTCTTGATAAAAGAACAAAGAGCCTTGCAAACATACAAACATTAAAATACCACAAACTTTTAAAACTGTGATTCTGAGGGTGCAAGGGGTGGGGTGGGGAATCCAAATTGAAAATAGGTTTGAAGACGACAATTCTTTCTAAGAGGTTGAGTTCCAAAGTGTGGGTGTTGGGAAACAATCGAGTAAAACTTTTGAATACTCTGGCTTTATTTACTTCTTTCAGCCCAAATGAAACTCACCATTGGATGCTCTCATTTGACGCTTACACCCAACTCTATCCAGACCAATGGGGGTACTTTGAGAAAAGGTGAAGGGGCGGATTCTGGCTGAGACAGCTTTGTAGGGGGGAACCTGGTGTGCTGGTACGGGGGGCCGTGCCACAGGCTAAAAAGGCAAAAGGGGAAAAAAAAGAAATATTTTATTAAGCGAAGTAGGAAACAATCTTCATTTGGAAATTGTTTTTTTAAACAAGCAAAAAGAAACCTCTTGCTATAAATCAGTCTTAGGGTTCCATATTATTCTCATGATTGATATTCTACCATATTTTTCAGCATATAAGATGCACCTTTTTCCCTTAAAAAAGAGGCTGAAAATCTGGGTGTGTCTTATACACTGAATACAGCATTTTTGATCTCCCGAAACCCTGCCCCCTTCACCAAAATGGCCATGCATAGTCTTTAGGAGGCTATAGTTTAAACACTGGAGAATTGACATAGATGAGGTGTGCATTTTTGACAGGAGGGAGAGTTCATTTAATGATATATCAAGACTCTTAGAAGTTGATGTAATTAAGTATACATAGTAAAACTAAGTTATCAACAGAGTAGTAGTCATTTACAGTCAGAATCTACTAACATACTAAACCAGAAACATATTAACTCTCAGAATTATTATATTCACCATTTAAATTCTAGGATGGGCTGAAGTAAAATATAGCTTCCGATAAGGTCCCAAGTGTCACTAAAATAAATATCAGGGAAAATTTCAGACCCATTGTTGAAAGGATCTTTTCCCTAGGCTATCATATTATTAAGCATAACAGAAAAGTAAACAAGCAACCTACATGGCTTGTTTTATGTTTGACAAGGGGTTCTGCAGGGAGGGTCAAAAAAGTCAAAATGGCAGCTGCCACCGTACAGCCAAACCTTCGCTCTTATTCATCACTGAGGCTTTGATCATGGGTCACAATCGCCATCTTGACTTTTTTTAAATCCTTCCTACATAGGAAGGCCCTGGTTTATGATTTGGCTGAAATCATGAATCAGGCATAGAGTATTTGATGTTCATTAACTATTTTTTTTCTGGTCCAGTTCACAATTCCAACACAACTAACATTTTTAATTCAAATATTTCATACAGAGGTCTAACTCCAAGCTTCTTCATCCTCTTTAAAAATAAAATATATACCTTTTCAATTTTTTTCTTATTTGCTCTTTTCAACTCATTTTCTCTTAATAAAGAGGAAGTGAGCACTTTTCACATTTCAATTCTACAGCTCCGACAACCTCTTTGTCAGGTTTTCACAGCTTTTCAAGCAGCTCTTTTGTCTGGAAAGACTGAATATTCATTGAAACCGAAATGCTTCCATCTTCTAAGCAAGTGATAGTAGTACTAATAAAGGATTTTACTTTCTGGCATTCTACTAGCTCTAGAGATTGATTTTTTTAAAAGCTGATTAAGAAACAGATATACAACTTAAATGTCCTTGCATTTTTGTATGTTTTCTCTCATTCTCATCAAATCTCTTTTGATTCATCATCTTTACGGTGCTTCATCTCTTCCAGTTAAACTAAATGGTTCACTTATAAAACCCTCTACGTCTCATTTTCCTTGTGGGTACCAATACAAGCACAAGGAGTTTACAATGTTTTCCACACATTTGTTTGCAAGCATTTCAACTTTTTCTTAACACTGGTAGTAAGATGGTATTTACTTCAAGCTTACACCCAGCAAATATGCATTAGAACAGCAAACATTTACTGTAGAAGACTGTCTGGGAAAACAGGGTATGTGGGAGACAGGAGGATAGAAAAACTGCCCTTGTTGAAAAGGTAAGAAAAGTAACAATATAATGAAACAATATTTACTATGTTTCCACAATGGGAAGTTTAAAGATAATAGCCTAGCTTTTTTCCAATAAATGAATAAATAGTGACTGTTACATTTTTACCACAACAAGCTGCCTTTAAAGGAAATTAATATTAAAGTAAATAATTCAAGGATTTTTTTTCAAAACTTCCATATTTACCTTGAAATAAAAAACACTCTTTGCAAATATTCCAAAGCAAAAACAGAGAAAATTTGTAAACAAGGTATTTCTATCAGGAACCTATAGATAATACTAGACCTACTCAACTTCTATTGAGTTCAGTGAGTCTTATTTTAAAATATAGTTTTATTTACATGAACACCACTATTTCACTTTGTATCACAAATAACTGTATGCATCCATTCACAATTTGAATTCTGAGTGAAGTGAAACGAGTCTATTTTGTTAAGAAAAAATCTTTTCCCTGTTTTTTGGTTACATCGGCAAAAAAAAAAAAAATTGGTTACGTCTTGCCACTACACAAGCAACATTTAAGGGTGGGCTATATGTCTAAAAATATAAACATATACTTTTTTTAAAAAATATTGAAGGTTGAAAATATGAATTAAGTCAATACTTTTCAGATTCATTTCTTTATAACTTGTGTTTCATATAACTGAGCCAAGGATCATGTTTGAACAATTCCTATAAACAATTACATTTTAATTGTGAACGTGCCTAGATGTTCTTCCTCGTGAGTAGCACAGCTGCAAATCACTCACCTGTGATGGTTTAATCAACCTTAAAGAATTAGGGGTGATACTGTATTTCTATTTCTCTCCATATATGCCATTGAGATAGCCCAGCGGGTATCTTATAGTTATGCAATTGTCAGGTTGTAAGCTCGTGAGAACATTTGCAAATAAAGTGTTGTTTAAACCATGTGTCATGCCATGCAAGCGTGGCCAAAATCAATACAGTTAAATAAAAACCCTTCTTGGAACTGTATCACAATGAAGTATAACTTCCAATATTCTAACTTGATTTGTATCTTCAGTTTGTTTTTAAAAAAATCAATAGCCCCTTCATATTTCTATGTTATTTATTGCTTATACTATCATAATCACATTAGATGAATGAACTCCAACGAACTAGTCCTACAACCTAGGGTCATGATATATCAGATTACTGTGATTTTCTCAAAGGGATTTTATGATAATGATGGCTGCCTGCTTTGGTTTTTCTTTTGGAATAAAAGATAAAAAATAAAAGAGTAGACATAGATAGGATCACACAGCAATTCTTGCTTATTACCAAGAAGAATACATATATATTCCATTAGATGATCATATTATGCACATAACAAGGTCTTTGATTTTCAATAATTATACATTAAGATACCATTGAAATAATAACAAAGATTGATTATGCTTTTAAACTTTTGTAACTAAGAAGATATATCATATTCTAACCATCTAGGCCAGATTCATGAGTCATCATGGATCATGGAGCATCTTTTGTCAATCTGCATTAAATTGGTTATGTAAATGCCCCGATTATTATTCATAAATGTCTCTATGCTCTGAAATATCATCTTACTTTTCTTATAATGCAATATAATCAGTACTGTTTTATTACAGAACGAAGAGGTGCACAGTAAAACAGAAATACCTTAAAACCTCAAATAGAAGCATCAACATTCCATGCGGAAAGGTTAGTATAGTATAGTGTACAATTCTAGAGCAAGAATTATCTATATAAAAGTATTAATTAATCTGATATCATGCGTTTAGAAGAATAAATATGCAGTGATGATTTGGAAGAAGCAGAAAGAAGGAATAGGAGCGTCCACTACGTTCTAATTTGAAGGTTACAGGGAAGAAAAGAAGGATGATCTTTTGATTTGAGTTTTTTCAGTGAGTGAATTTTATTTCTTACTTGTGCAAGGAGATCAGTTATTTCTTCCGTTTGATTATTCTCATAGTAACTGATTGCACCAATGACAGAGATGGGTCGTCTTCTGTAGGCTTTTGGATTGGCTACTGCACAAGTCCCAGATTTTACAGGGGGAGGCTTGGTCTCACTGTCATTCTCCAGAGAGTCCATTTCCTGGGAATCCATAGCGATAGAATCTTCTGGAATGGAAGAACTTCTAATTGCCAACTGGCCATAATCTGAGAGTGGTCGAGGCCGAGATCTTTTTCCAGAACCCCATCTTCTGGTTGGGACTTTTTGAGCATCTGTTCTTTCTTCATCTTGAAATGGAAACTTCTTCCAGTGATCATCAGTAACAACCTTTTTTCAAAGGTGAACAAGTCAAATAAACCAGAAATACTTTAAAATCATATAAGGATTTATGCTGTTCTAAGCAGGGTCTATGTACCATGCAATTTCCACTTCCATTTCCATTTATTTAACAAAATTTACATGGCCGCCCAATTCACTCTCAGTGACTCCAGGTGGCTTATAAAAAAATAAATAAAAAATCAATAGCCCCTCCCCCAGCAACAAAATAAGCCATTTAATGAGGTTATACATATACAATCAACCATATCTAATAGCAAATGTGATAGACTGTGGTAAAACATGAATTAAAAAAAAGCCAATGGCAAATTCAGACATTTGTCTTTTGTTAGGAATTTTTACCAAAATACATACATTCAATTTTTAAAAAGAGATATTTATCTAGTAGTTTCTAGCAGCATGGAATCAAAGCATAGGGTAGGGTTTTCAGATCTGTGATTTCCTGTGTGTTACGATTCTAACTCTTACAAAGAGCAGATTGACTGTGGGATTATAACTGGGGCACTCAAAGGTGTCCTCAAGAGAAATCATGAAAGAGAAATGATGGTATGTGTAGTGAAACATGACTTATGGATTTCCGTATTAAAATGTACTTAGAGAAACTACATATTTTACTTATTTGTGCAATGACATTATAACATGCCTTGTTGCAAAACGCAATGGTTATACAGTATCACCAACCATTTCCTCTTAACTGAGGGACATTAATATTGAATAATAGGGAAGCTATGGGTCATTGTTTGACATGAAATAAATGGCTATGATCATTTCAAATTACTCTGGAAAAAAGCCAAGATGCATTAATGACTTGTTATCTCATTTTCCTTTTAAAACTACTGTTACCAAATGCGAACTGTATGCTTCACTCTGCAACCTTCTTACTAGGTTGTGAGTTCCATTAAACACAAAGATTTAATTAAGGGAAGACACATGGATATAGCTAAATTCATTTTCCTAGCTACTTTTCCAATTAATTTGCAGAAGATATTGGGTTTATTCATCATGATAACACATTTTCTTTTATCCATATTTGCTGAGCAAGTTATAATATATGAAGTATAAGTCTTGAATTTACATAATACACTTAATGGAAAATAAGCAGGCCATTCTTATCCACTCCCTCCATATACACACAGTGCAATTTATGAAACTAAATACTATCTTTATATTGGGCAGATGATTTTGAACCTTATCTGATGGGAATGAATAGAAACAATTAGCTCAAAAAGATTCTAACAATATCTATACTTAAAAGAACATGCCTTCCTTTGAACAAAATCTCCAGTACTCTTCCTTAACCGATTAACCTCCAGATATGTTGAATTTCTATTCTCACAATCCTCCAGCTGGCCTAAGCCCATGCCAGCTGGGAGATCCAAGGGAACTAACATAGTCTAGAACAGTGTTTCTCAACCTTGGCAACTTGAAGATGTCCAGACTTCAACTCCCAGAATTCCCCAGCCAGCATTCGCTGGCTGGGGAGTTCTGGGGGGTGGGGGGGTGGGTGATTCTATCTTTTCTCTGTGT